TTTCCTGTGTTTGGACTAACACCTATTCCAAACACAATGCAAGCAAGCATGGCATACACAATGCGACTCAAACATGCAAGTATGCAATACGACTTAAGCATGCAAACATGCAATGCAAGATGAACAACCTAACAATGCTAATGGCATGCACAATGCTAAAGCATGTAACAACTAGCATATACAACGCTAAATGCTAAGAACTAGATGGCATACTCAATGCAAGGCATTCGTAAGGTTCTTAAGCATACTGTAATGCATGCATGCACAATGCAATGCAACAAGGGCAACTTATGTAATATACCAAGCATGGCATGCTTAATGCAATATACATGGCATACTCAATGGACTTAAACCAAAAGGGTAGACCTCGATCATGCCCAAATCAGTGGCCATTGGTGATGAAATGAAGGCACATAAAGCTAGGCATGCATGCACAATGCATTGGCCATCAAAGAGGCCAAAGAGCACAACTCTCAAGAGTGCTCGATGAGTGACAAAAGTGGAAGTGTAACAACACTAAGTGCACTGAAACGAAGCAAGAAATGATGCCAAATCATTCAAACAACATAAGTAAAGCATGCCAGGGTCCTAAGGCATGAAAGCTAGCAAAGAGCAACACAACGGAGGCATGCAACACATGGCACAAATGCATGAACTAAGCATGGACAGAGCTCAAGTAGGTCAAAACAAGGACCTAAACATGCTGAGAATAGGGCCCAAAGGCTTAAGCATGCAAGCTAAGGCCATAACAAGGCCATAATGCATAACCCTTAAAGACATTCAAAGCATGAATGAAGTGGGAATAAAAGCTTGCTACAAGCTCTGAAATATCATGTTAGATGATGCTAAATCATGCACACGACACAAATGAAGCATGCAATGGTGCTCAAAGCTTGAGGCAAGCAAGAGCATTTGTACTACAAGTATACAAAACATGAAGCATGTGATCAAGGCAATCCAAAATAGTCCTAGTACATGTTAGAATGAGTCTAAAACATGCATGGAAGTAGGCCAAAACATGCTAGCATGAAGGGCATAAGGCATGATTCATACAAGGCAAATAAGGCGGATTACACTGCACCTATTAAGACCAAGCATGGAATGACTTAAGCAATAAAAATCAGAGTTTTATCATGGCAAAATAACCCCAAATAAGTGCTGAAATGATGGCTCGCAAGCTATGGCATGAAGGCATACGCAATGGTTCATATTAAGACATAAAAGGGGAAACCTTCCAACGCATTGAATGTGTGACAAATGTGAACGTATGGCCATGAAACATGAACTGAAATCACATTATAAATGATGCCAAATCATTCAAATAGTCCAAGTAATGCATGCTAGTGGACTTGATGCACAAAACTAGCAAGCTAGATTGAACTATAGCTATACAAAGCAAGTCATGCATGACCAAGACAACCAAAATTAGACCTTAAACATGGTAAAAAAATGAACAAAATCTTCTTTAATTCAAGCCAAA